AAGATGCAGCTGGAGTTAGGGTTGTAGGGAGGGGAGTAAGGAGATTTGTTAACATGGTATCCATGCATCTGATACTTAACAGGACACATACTGCTGCAAAGTATACCTTCTACTCACTGGCTGTTGTAATAGACACAGAACATGGCTTGGTAAACTTCCTAGGAAGTTAAGTGCTCCCATGCAGATTTTTAGAGCTGGAAGGCAATTGAAAGATAACCCATCTAAATTTCTTTTATTACTGAAAAAGAATCAGAATCCCAGAGATTTTGGTAACTCTCCAAATGTTACCCAGGTGACTTATGACAGAGGAGAGCTAGAATTCAGTCTGCCAACTCCTTTCTAGCATTTAGTAGAGGAACTGTGTTCCTAATAGTGTAACATGTTGGAGGAGCTCTGCAGAGAGGATTAACTATTCTGAAGGAATAGGATAACCTGATAAATCTCCAAGTTGCAATGTGGCTCTAGGTAAGCCACTCAATTATTTTTCAGACCATGGTTTTCTTATACATCGATGGCATTTTATGGCAAATACTTTGTACTGAGAAGTTTCTGTGCTCTAGGCAATGTGTAAGGCTTTTATAGAAATTACTGTATAAAAATCTCAGGACAACACTGCAAGACAGGTTTTACTGCTCTTTTTTATAGCAGAGGGGACTAAATCTCAAAGAGCTTATACAATTTTCTAGAAGTGGTGGGTCTGCACATGTCCAAACACATGCTTTTTTTCACTTCTCAGTCCTCTTAGCTGGAAGTCCTTTCAAACTTCCAAGAACCACGTGAGAAAGTTTAAAAGTGATTTTTCACTTTTGGCTTCTCAGTATGGGAGGAGGAAAGACCACAGAGAAACGTGGAGCCCGCCTCGTAGACTTCTCTAATCACAGGCTTGCTTCCAGCTTGCTTCCCTAATCACGGTCTTGCTCCCTCCCTTTCTGGAGGGAATGTAGATCATCTTCCTCCCTCCCTTGATCTATCTCCGATGCAGTGTAAACAAAAATTTAGAATTCTGGCCTGAGAGAAACCAAGACGTGGCCGTGGTGAACATGGATAAGACTGAGTGTGGTAGAGTCAGACAGATTTCAAATAGAATGTCTGCTCTACCCAGTACCTCTTAGCACAGTGACTGTGGGCAAGTCTCTTGGCACTTTTGAGCTACATAAGTTTCCTCATTTTAAAAATTTAAATAATAAAATAAGCTTCACTGCAGAGTATTTTTGAAGAGTAAATGAGACAACACATGAAATATGTCTATTGGGTATTCTGATAGTATATATTTATAGTTGCTACATTATACGCAGGTTACATTTTTTATTGTGGAAAAATGTTAACTTATTCAAAAGTGACAAGAATAATATAAGGAACTTCCATGTACCTATATTAAGCTTCCACAATTATCAATATGTGCCAGTTTTGTTTCATCCATCCACTTCCTATCCCCCACCCTACCCCAGATTAATTTGAATCAAATGTCAGACACTAGATCATCTTATCAGTAAATATCTGAGTATGCATCTCTGAAAGATAGAGACCATTTAAAAATATACCTGCAATTCCATAATCAGACTTCAGAAAGCAACTATAATTTTAAAATATTACCAGTTCTATTTAGATTTTTCTGATGGTCTCATGTTTTTTTAAAAAAATTGTTTAAAGTAGGATCTAAAATCCATACATTGCAATTGCTTGACATCTCTTAAGTTTCACTTAATGTGTAGGTTTCCACTTCCTTTGCTTCTTTTTTGTGACATGTCTTTGTTTAAGGAAGGGACAGTCTTTTGATCAACAGACCAACAGAACTGGACAGTGCTCATCTTGCTGATTATATGCTCTTCTAGTTCCAGTTTGTGTGTGTGTGTGTGTGAATGTGTGTGAATTTATGTCAAGGGAGATGTTGGATCAGATTAAAGTTTGAATTTTTTTTTGGCAGAAAGACTTCATAGATACTGTTCTAAACTTCCATTAGAAGGCACATCATGTTTGATTGTCTCTCTTTTTGCGATGTAAATGATTGCCTAGAATGAATTTATTGCTTCATTAAGAGTTACCAAATGATGATATTCTGACTCTATTATTCTTTCTTCATTTATTAGATGGAATAATTGTATACAAATGAAGTTTCCTTCAGCAATTATTTCATTTTCATGGGTTAAAGTTAAAAGATGAGATATTGGAAAGACAAGACAAATGCTTGATTCTTTCCTTCTAGTTGTCAGTATTTGGACTGATGAGTTACTTTCCTAGCATACTACAAATGGTGCAATTAACTTCTTTCAGGAAGATGGTATTGTTATAGACTACTGGAGTTCAGCATATTTGGTATACTTTGATTCATTGGAATTATTTTTCTAATTGATGCTCAAATTGTTCCATCTTTGTCAAGCTGGAACCTCCTTAAGGTGGTTTCTGAGTCCTTCTGATAAGATCATAGTGATTTTTGATAGCATCCCTGCTTCCTAGACTGAAAAGATGTTCTAGGCTTGACTTGTATGTTTCCTGGCCCAGACCTGGAATCAGTACTTCCTCCTGGAAACCCTAATTTCTTTGGTGGGAGTGACATTTGAAGATCACACTCTAGGCATTAAGTGTGCACATTGCTATTGAACTGATCATTGATTATGCCTTTTAAATGGACTTTGAAACAGTATACACACTGATAAATTACTATATTTTCAAGTCTTTTGTGACAGTTTTCTGTGTGGTTTATCTACCACACAAAATACGATTAAGCTTATTTGATTTTTGCTGGTGTTTTCAAATATAATTTTTATTGTATAATTATGTAAACTATTTAAATGATTTCAAGATAAAACTTACACAAAGTGTATTCAAAGAAGTCTAGCTTCCAGTTTCTACACACATTCCTTTCACCCTGTTCCTCCCATCTCCATATAAATAACGTTTTGTTTATTTAGGCTTCAGATGATCCTGCCATTGCTTTTGCAAATGTGCATGAAAAATTATTTATATATAATTCATATTCCTCCCTATTGTATACATGGCAGTAAGTTATACATTATTTTCTTCACTTTGCTTTTTCACTTCATGATATATCCTAGAGATCTCCCCATACTGGTATGCAGAGATATTTTTCATTCCTTTGTACAGTTGAATAGTACTTCACTGTGTAAATATACCTTAGTTTATTCAACTGGTGCCCTACTGTCAAGCATTCAATAGGATTTTGGTGTTTTGCTTTTACTGATAGTGCATACTTCCTTCTGTATTTTTGTCAGTGTAGCTTTAGGACAGATGCTAAAATTGGAATTAATAATCAGTGAGTACATGCATATGTAATTCTGCAAGATATTGCTACCTTTTCCTCTACAGATGTTGGACTGTTTTTCCATTCCCATCAGTCATATAGAAGATGATCTGTTTCCTCCATACATTTACCACCAGATTGTGCTGGCAAACTTTTTGATTTTTGCCATACCAATAGCTGAGAAATAGTTATCTCAGTGTAATCTTACCTTATTTTTTCTTTGTACTTATTTTTCTCTATTATAAATGAATTTGAATTTCTTTTTAGACTCAAGGGATATTTACATTTCTTTTTTGAACAATTTTCTTCTTTTCTTTGAGCTGTTTATTAATATCTCATGTCATTGGTCTTTTGTAGACAGTCTTTGCATAATAGGAAAATTAACGCTCTTTAATATAATTTGGAAAGAATATTTTCCTAGTTTGATATTTGTGTTTTAATTTGTCCATAGTGTTTTATGACTTTCATTATTTTCTAGATTTTTATGGAATCCAATTTATCAGTCTTTTCCTTATACTATTTTAGATCTTAGAAACATATTCTCCATTCCCAGCTTACAGAACATATATCCATGTTCTTTTATTATTTATGTGGTTTAATTTTTTACATTAAACTTTCTGATCCATTTGGAATTTGTACGGCATAAGAAGTTGTATGCAATTTTATCTTTTTCAATATGACTATACAGTTGTCTCAGTATTGCTTATAAATTTTTTTCATCTTTTTTCCTATTGGTATAAGATGCTGCTGTATGGAATATAAATGTAACAATATAATTGAATTGAATATACATGAATATAATATGAGCAATAGTCTATTTCTTAGTCTACTTTTTTATTTCTGAGTTTTCTATTTCTGATTCACAGTCTCTCTCTATGTATTCACCAACATTATATGCTTTAATTATCGCCACTTAAAAAATTGTCTATAAAGCTAGTCTTCCCTTGTTCATTGTCTTCATTGTTCAAGCTAACTTGCTTTTTTTCTCATCCAAATAAACTTTATAATCAACTATTTTAGCTCCACAAACAAAAGGTGGCAACATTTCAAAACTTTATATTTATATAAAATAATGTTAAAGAAGCCCTTATTATTTTCTATCTTATAAAATGTTTTAAACATGAATCAATGTTAAATTTGATCAAATATTTTTTCTGCATCTGGGTAATTTTCTTCTTAATCTATTGATGGAATGTGCCATAAAAATCAAGTTTCTCATTTGACCCACCTTATATTTCTGAAATAAATCACACTTAATCGTGGTGTGTTACTTATTAGTGTCTAACAATTTCTTTAGGATTTTTGTATCACTATTCACAAATAAGACATATTTGTAGCTTTCTTTATTGGTGAAATCCTTGTCAGCTTTTGGAATTAATATTATTGCTTCATAGAAAAAATTAGTTTTTCTTATTTTCTACAGTCAGGAAGAGTTTAAGTAGCATTGAGATTATTAGATTTTATGTTTTTTTTTTTTTTAGATTTTTCAAGTTTTAATAGAATTATCCTGTGAAACCATCTGAACTTGATACTCTTTTGTGGGGAAACTCATTAACTGCTTTCTCCATTATTTCTTTCATAGTGATTGGGCTAGTTCATCTTTCTGTCTCTATTGGAATCAATTGAAAATAGAATGTTACATATTTTGGGGGAGAGACAGAAAGAAGAAAAGAGTGTTGGGGATGGTTCTCACTTACCTAAATTGGCCTTCGCCCCTCTATTTTCCCTCCTTAGAGTCTTGTATGTGCCTAAGTTCCAGAATCTCCTGATGTAAGCATGGCCGAGCGTGAGGACCACTCTCTGCGGATCGTTCTGGTCGGGAAAACTGGAAGTGGGAAAAGTGCCACAGCAAACACCATCCTTGGAGAAAGAAAATTTGATTCTAAAATTGCTGCCCATGCTGTAACCAAGAACTGTCAAAAAGCATTCCGGGAATGGAACGGGAGAAAGCTTCTTGTTGTTGACACCCCAGGGCTCTTTGACACTAAGAAGAGCCTGCTCACCACCTGCAAGGAAATCAGCGGGTGCGTCCTCTCCTCCTGCCCAGGACCACACGCCATCGTCCTGGTAATGCAGCTGGGACGCTTCACGGAGGAAGAGCAGAGAACCGTTGCATTGATCAGGGCTGTCTTTGGGGAGCCAGCCTTGAAGCACATGATGTTCTTGTTCACTCGCAAAGAAGAGTTGGAGGACCAGAGCCTAAATAACTTTATAGAAAGTGCAGAAGGGAACCTAAGAAGCATCATCCAGGAATGCGGAAACCGCTTCTGTGCCTTTAGCAACAGCCCCAGAACGAGTGAGGATGAGAAGGAACGTCAAGTTCAAGAGCTGGTGGAACTGATAGATGAAATGGTGCGAAACAATGAAGGGGCTTACTTCTCTGACGACATATACAGGGACACAGAGAAAAAACTGAAACACCATGTAGAGAGTTTGAGGAATGAGTATGCTAAGCAGTTAAATGAGGGTGTTAAACAAATAGAAAAGGAATATGCTAACTCAGAGCAAGAAAAGATGGAAAAAATAAATTCACTAAGGATGAAATATGAAGAAAACTTGAGAAATATAAGGGAAGAGGCTGAGGAGAAGACATACGAAAATGTTGTTCAAAAGATTAGAAAGATACTTTTGAAAATATGGCAAAGGCTTTGGGAGTAATGTAAATTTTATTCTTTCTTCTTAATTACGACTTTTTTTAGTGTGGTGAATTACGTTTTCCAAAGATGGCTGAAACAATACCTCCCACCTCCCAGCTTTATTAAGGTATAATTGACAAATAAAAATTGGGTATGTTTAAGGTGTACTATGTGATCTTTTGATATACATATATACTGTGAAATAAATCAATGTTGTAATTAACATATTTAGTGCCTTACACTTACTTTTCTTCCGTGCAGTGAGAACATTTAAAATGTGCTTCATGGACTGGGTGCAGTGGCTCATGCCTGTAATCCCAAGATTTTGGGAGGCCAAGGTGAGAGGATTGCTTGAGTCTAGGAGTTTGAGATCAGCCTTAGGCAGCATAGCAAGACCTTGTCTCTACAAAAAAAATCAAAATAATAATCTGGGTGTAGTGGTGTGTGCCGGTAGCCTCAGGTATTTGGAAAGGCTGAGGCAGGAGAATAGCTTGACCCCAAAAAGTCGAGGCTGCGGTGGGCCATGAGGACGTGGCACAGCACTTCAGCCTGGGCGACATAGTGAGACTCCAACTCAAAAAAAAACCCAAAACAAAAAACTGCTCTCAGTAAATTTCAACAATGCATTAAAGTATATTAACTATAATCACCCTGCTGTGTGTTATCTCCAGAACTTATTCATCCTGCATAACTGGAACTTTGTACCCTTTGACAAACATCTTCCTCTTCCCACCACCCCCAGCTCCTGGCAACCAACATTCTTCACTTTGCTTCTATGGGTTTTACATTTAAAAATCCCACGTGTAAGTGAAATCATGCCGTGTTTGTCTTTCTGTGCCTGGCTTATTTCACTTAGCATTATGTCCTTCAGTTTTATCCATATTGTTGCACATGACAAGATTTCTTTCTTTTCCATGGTTGAATAATATTCCATTATTATTAATAGAATTTAATAATACACCACATTTTCTTTATCCATCCGTCTGTCCATTGACACGGGTTATTTCTACATCTTGTTTATTATGAATAATGCTGGAACGAATATGGCAATGCAGATATCTCTGCAAGATACAGATTTCATTTCATTTGGCTATTGTCTTAGTTCATTTGCGCTACTATAAATATACCATAAATGGAGTGGCTTATAAACAACAGAAATGTATTTCTCACAGTTCTGAAGCCTGGAAAGTTCAAGATCAAGGTGCCAAAATATTTGGGTCTGATATTTTTTCATAGATAGTTGTCTTCTTACTCTAACAACAAAGGGCAAAAAGAATGAAGGGTCTCTCTTGGGCCTCTTTTATAAGGGTATTAATCTCATTCATGAGGGCTCTGCCCCCCTGTCCTAGTGACCTCCCTAGGGTCCCACCTCCTAAACCCATCATTGTGAGGGTGAACATTTCAGTGTATGAATTTTGGGGAACATAATAATTCAGACCATAGCATTCTGTTTCTGACATTTCAAAATTCATGATCTTCTTACATGTAAAATGTATTCATTTCATCCCAATAGCTCCAAATTCTTAACTTGTTCAGGCATCAATTTTAAAGTCTAAGTCCAAGATTTATTTATTGATTGATTTTTCTCTGATTTTAAAAAATATTTATTTTTTAATTTTTTAATTTTAAAGATGTGGGGCGCAATTCAGGGTTAGGTATACAACTGTTCATTATGCAGACACCCTTATCGATGAAATGTGCCCCCATTCTCCTGGCAGATTCCCACTAAGCCAATCCCATCTCTCCCCTCACCCCGGCAGCTTCCTTCTACTGCCAGTACTTTTCTTATACTATTACAATAATTGTTCAAGTTTCGCTTATGGAGTGACAACATGTGATAGTTCTTTGTTTCTGCAATAGATCACTTAGTATTATAGACTCTAAGTCCAACCAAGTTGTGGTGAAGTTCATAATTTTGACCATTTTTATGGCTGTGTAATATTCTGCCATGTATATGTACCACATTTAAAAAATCCAGTCCTCTTTTGACAGGCAGCATGGTTGGTTCCATGATTTTACTATTGTGAATAATGCTGCAACTAACATATGTGTGCAGATATCTTTTCCATAGAATGATTTGAGTTCTTCTGGGTATATTCCTACTAGGGGGATTTGCAGGGTCATATGGAAGACCAATTTTTAGATCTTTTAGGAATCGCCAAACTTTTTTCAACAGAGGTTGTATTAGTTTACACTTCCACCAACAGTGTAGAGGTGTACCCTTTTCTCTGCATCCTCTCTAGCATCTGTTGTTTTTTGAGTTATTGATGATGGACATCCTGACTGGAGTGAGGTGGTATCTCAGTGTACTTTTAGCATGTATTTCTTTGATGACTAGTGAGGCGGAGCATTTTTTCATGTATCTGTTGGCTGCTCATATGTTTTCTTTTCAGAAGTGCTTTTTATATCTGTTGCCCACTTTGTAATGGGGCTGCTTGTTTTTTTCTTTTCTGCACATTTGAGTTCCTTGTAGATCCTAGATGTTAGGCCTTTGTCAGATACACAGTTGGCAAATATTTTTTCTCAGTCTGTGGGCTGTCTCCCTGCTCTCTTGGTGGTTTCTTTTGCTTTGCAGAAGATTGTCAAGTTTGATGAGGTCCCACTTGTCTATTTTATCTCTTATGGCATGGGCACCTGGGGTTTTGATCAGGAATTGGTTGCCAGTTCCAACTTCCATAAGATTGTCTCCTGCATTTTCTAAGGTTCTTATAGTTTGAGGTTTTACGTTTAGGTCTTTGATCCATTTAGAGTTGATTTTTGTGTATGGTGATAGGTAGGGGTCTTGTTATAATCTTCTGCATGTGGTCAGCCAGTTTTCCCAGCACCATTTACTGAATAGACCCTCTCCACAGTTGTTGGTGGTGCAGGATTTATTGAAGATGAGTTGGTTGAGAAATTGATGTTTTGCTTCTGGAATCTCTATCCTGTTCCATTGGTTTATACGCCTATCCTTGTACCAGTATTAGGCTGTCTTGATTATTGTAACTTTATAATAAAGTTTAAAGTCTGGGAATGTGATACCTCCCGATTTTTTTCCCCTGAGGATTGTTTTGGCTGTTTGTGGTCATTTATGTTTCCATTTAAATTCCTGTATTGTCGTTTCCAGGTCTGAGAATAATGCTGCTGGTAGTTTAATGGGAATTGCATTAAATCTGCAGATTGCCTTGGGTGGATGGACATCTTTTTTCTCCCCCTCTTTTAATTTTAATTTTAAAATTGTGCGGTACAATTCAGTGTTAGGTATACAAATATTCATTGTGCAGGTACCCTTGTTGATGAGGTGTGCCTCACCTTCCCCAGGCACATATCAACTGCTGTCAATCCCACTTCCCTGACTCCCCCTGCAGTTTCTCACTACTGTCAATCCTTTACTTACAGTATTACAGTAGTTGTTCAAGGTCCACTTCTGGGTGAGACCATGTGATACTCAGCTCTTTGTGTTTATTTGGGCTTTTTCTCCCTTTTTCTTGATCAGTCTAGCTAGGGGTTCATCAATCTGGTTTATTCTTTCAAAGAGCCAGCTTTTTACTTTGTTGATTTTTTGTTTTATCTTTTTGTCTTCTATGTCCCAAATTTGGGCTTTTATTTTGGTAATCTGGATTCTTCTGCTGAAGTCAGGGTTTTGGTGTTCTTGCTTTTCCAGCTTCCTTAGGTGATTTGCTAGGCTGTTATCATGTGATCTTTCCATTTTCTTCAAGTGTGTTTGTAGAGATATGAATTTCCCTGTTAGTACTGCTTACATAGATCCCACAGGTTTTTGTAAGCTGTTTCTTCATTTTCATTTGTATTCAGGTATCTTTTAATCTCTGTTTTGATTTCCATGTTGTTTATCATCATGAAGTTTAGTTTCTATGTCTTTGTGAGTTTTAGGGGAACTTTGTTGGTGTTGATATTTATTTATTTATTTATTTATTTATTTATTTATATTTTAGAGATGTGGGTTACAATTCAGATTATTTATTTTTATTCCACTATGGTCTGAGAAGGTACATGGCAATATTTCAATCTTATGGACTTTGTTTATGCTTGATTTATGGCTGTAGGATACGGTTGATCTTAGAGTCAGTTCCACATGGTGATGTGTAGTAGAATGTATATTCCATGGTTGTTGGGTGGGGTGTTCTGTAGTTATCAACTAAGTCCATTTGGTCAAGCATCATGTTGAGGTTCCAAATCTCCTTGTTGATTTTCTTGTCTTGATAATCTGTCTAGGATTGTGAGTGGGGTATCAATATTTTAAAAAAATTTACCCAGAAGCTGTTTTATGAAAGTTGGTGCTCCTATGTTGGGAGCATACATGTTTAGGATGGGTATTTCTTGTTGAGGATTTGAACATTTTTTCAGTGACCTTCCATATATTTTTAAGTTTTTGATAGATTAAAGGGTGTTTTATTAACACCCTTTATTCTGATATTATCAGAATTAACAGAATCTGATACTAAGGGTTTTATTAACACCCTTTATTCTGATATTAAGATTGTGACTCCTGCTTTCTTTTGTGTTCCGTTTGCCTGAAATTTGTTTCCCATCTTCTTACTTTGAGTCTGTGAGTGTTCTTTCTGGTGAGATAAGTCTCTTGGAGACAATATATTGTTGCCTTATGATATTTTATCCATTTTGCCATTCTATGTCTTCTCAGTGGTTCATTTAGTCCATTAACATTCAGGCTAACTATTGAGATGTGAAAGTTTATCCCTGTCATGAGGTTCTTATTAGAGTGTGTTGTTGCTACTGTTTGTTTGTTTGTTGTCTTTCTTTTGATTTTTTGGGTTGCTTCATGTGTGTTTTCAATCTTTTTTCTGCTTTCTTGGCATGGGCATTGTCATTCTTTTTTTCCTTTTTTATGTGTTTAATACTTTCTTTTTTTAATTTTATTTTTTATATTTTAAAGATGTGGGGCACAATTCAGGGTTAGATATACAAATGTTCATTATGCAGGTACCCTTGTTGATGAGGTGTGCCTGCCCTTCCCCAGGCAGACTCCCACTACTGCCAATTCCACTTCCCTGCCTCCCTCCCAGA